CCGGCATGCAGTTGTGATTGGCAACTTTAAATCGCAAATGATAATAATCCTACCGTGTAAAAAGCACAACAAGAGCTATGGACAGGCGAGCTGCACCTTATAGCCTTTCGACCGCTCTTTTATCCCCCTTTGTTTATCCTGTATACTCGCTAAGCCCCGTTTGTCCGTGGCATGTTGCATGCGCTAGTCACGAAAGGACCCAAGTGCTCCCTGGTGGGAGCATCGTCCGAACGCCGTGCACAAACCCGAAGAAGAGTCCCTACGTAGGCTAAGTCTGAGTGGATGGCCCTCAGGTACATATAGTTCTGTCCTACACCGCTATTCTCCGGCATCCCATAGTCCTGAAATGGTCATGACCGGCCGAAAGTGCTCTTATCCAAACATCTGAAACATCACGGCCTCGTATTCACGTGCATCTTGCGGTTCCCCAGCAGCTCCGCTAGCCACAAACGTCTTCATCATCTCACACTCGTCACCTCAAAAAGGAGCACATCTAGCTTATTTTTATAACTGTAGGCTGCAAAATAGATCACGATACCCCAAAGATGTTCACGGCTGCTGGCATTCTCTATTCTAGTTAAATTCGTCGTGGGGAAGCCAAAGGGCAAATTCAAATATATATATATATATATATATATATATATATATATATATATATATATATATATATATGGAGGGTTCCATGGCAAGGCAAAACATTTTGTTATGAGCTGCATGGGCGCATGTGTTCTTCAAAAGGTCTACAAATATTTAACAAAATGCTGCCTTGAAAGCATCACATAGATGTACACATTTCTGTAGCTCCCCAAACCGTTCATAATTAAATGAAATGCGTGATACGCTCCATGACCTAGACGTGGTAGCTTCCAATGTATCGTGTGCACTCCATTGCCTCCATGACCTACTGACCTCCGGGCCGGTCAATGGGATGTCACGCATTAAGCTCAGCTGATCAGAGGCCTTTGAAGGAGTGATCCTCCGGTTTAGAGAAATAAGGGCACTGGTGCCATATTACATTTTGGAGCATCTGCAATGTTCTCTGACAGCGATGAAATACATGAAAGACGCGGACACACACAAGGACGAGAACACAGGATGCAAAAACGAGAATGCATTCATCAGGACCACTTTGGCGGTTTAAGCGTGGTGTTCCTCCATCCCAAAGGCTGTGCAAAATGGTTGACAAGCCTATATAGGGGAGGACAGAAGTTATATATGATGGATTTCCTACCAAATTTGGAAGAGAATAGTGTGTTATTTATTCCCAGTCAACATCCATAGAGTCGACGTCAAATTTCCAATAGTTGGGGCGAGCTCCGCCCGACCCCCACCCAACTCCGTAGTTCTGTGTCCCTGATCAAATCTGCCTGCCGTTCGTGTTTCGTTGTCATTTTTTCACAATTTTTTGGAACCTGCCAAGTGGTCAGTCGTAACTAGCAAGCTGTCCCGAAAAGCAAGGTCCGCAGGCGCGCCTGTAGGTCCGTACCCTTATGCACGCTTGTTCACAGCTCTTAGGCTGGAGGGATTCAGCTGTGAACGAGTCAGTTGGTACACTACGTTAGCAAGCAACCCGTATGAGGTTCTCAAATCTGAACTTGCGGGCAGCCCGGCCTAGGGTCACTGGTGTCTCTCCAACCCATGACACGTTCGTAGTTCCTCATATCCGCCATATCCACTCAGTCCCGACTCGCCCTTGGATTCCGGGAGGTGGCAATTTGCCGCAGAACCGTGACCCTCCGTCCGGAACTCCCGTCAGCCGCCATGCGGCCGCATGGAGAGACCTTCCGGGCGTGGCGCGATCCCGCCGGGCGCCCGGCCAGGGCGGGGCGTCACCCGGCGGCCGTTTCGCCACCTGCCGGCGAGGTCGGCCCGGAGGTCAGTTCATGACCTCGGCCGTCGCCTCAGCGGTCACTCGACGCGGCTGTGTGGCCGCCCGCCGCCGGCCGCCCGCCGCCCTGCGCCCCGCCCGCCACGGCAATGTGGGTCACCCGGAAAAAATGGGCAGTGCCGCGGCTGCCGCTTTAGTCAGGAGTCGACCTCCCCCTCCCCCTGTGCCGGCCTGAGGGGCCCGATGGAGGCTGCCTTAATGGAGAGCGATTCGGTGGCGGTGTGCGACGCACGCCCGCTCCCACTACTGACCGATTTGCATAAGCCTGCCTCCACCTACATGCCTGTCTGATTAAGGACACAGTTCAAAAGCCACGAAGGGCGAGTGGCAAGAGTGGCCGTTTCTTTCACGCTGGAAGTGACGCGATCGTAAATGAGAGCCCGTAGTGATGCAGTTAGTAAATATGTGGCATATACTACATTCAGTAAACATGTGGTCACGTCATTACCACCGTTGTCCTTTACAAAAGCATTCCATTCAGTCAATATTCGGTCACGTCTTTACCACCAAAATTCTGGCCCAAAAAAGTTATAAAAAACACGAAGCGTTCTGGCCTCCTCCCTCAGTGCCGGTGATCAGCTTGGTGGTAAGCAGAGGCGGTCGAGCTGTGTTAGACTTGGTGGTAAGCGGAGGAAGTCGAGCTGTGCTAGACTTGGTGGTAAGCGGAGGAAGTCGTGCTGAGAGCGCTGCATGGAGCCGCGATATTATCTGGATTTAGTAAAGCGACGGCTGACAAATTAGTGGCCCGATAAATCGCATCGGCTGCCGGCCGAAGTGATCCAGCTGGAGCGATCCAGCGGGGCGTGACGATCGCGGCGGAGACACTCCCTCCACCTAGGCGGAGTATTGCCCGGGGGTGGCGCGGCCGCACCCCGAGCTCGCGGCAGCCGGCCCTATGGTCTGGGGTCGTACTATCTGGCGCGGCATCGTGCCTGAGTCCCACCTCGCCACTTTGCGATTGAGGCCGATTGAGGTCATATGTTGGGTGAGCGACGCACTGGGGCGAACCGCCTACTGAATGCCACAACGGTAATTGTGTCATCTTTATACTTCTGAACGGCATTATGCAATGAATGACGCATACTGAATGACACAACGGTAGTTGTGTCACAGGGGTCGACATTTTGATTTTGGTTTCCTCGATACAAACATCTGTTTTCTGCGTTTTTTGAAAGGCGGACATTGTGTTGCCTTACCTACTGCACACGATACATTACATCCGCGACTTCTGACGCAAATTTGACTGTCGCCAGCCTGCACCGGCATCTCACCGCCGACGCCTGCACCTGCCACCTGCGCGGTGCACGAGACCGGCCGCGGCCCGGTGCGTGACCAGGCGGGCCGGTCGGCACCAGCAGTCGCGGTGCCGCCGTCACAGATGGCTGACTCGTGAGGCTCGCGAATCAGCCAGCTGGCTGCTGAGAAACCTTGCCAGTGGTGGCCCGGCGCGGCCCGGCGCCGGCGGGCCGCACCGGGCGTCGGCACGCAACTGGGTCAGCCGGCGGCCGGCGTGCGGTCGGTGCCGCCTTGACACCTACGCCGCCGCCTGTGCCCCGTCACGGACCGGCACGGCGGCGGCTCGGCGCCCAACACATCTGACACGGTCGGTTAACGTTAACGGCCAACTGGAGAGCAAATGGCGCCAGCGTGGGTGAGACTGGACGTGAGCTTGCAAAATGATACTGCAAATGGTCACAGGAAGTCCTCATCGCGAGTCCTTCAGAGGAGCTGATCGGTGGTGAGGAACGGCTGTGGGCTCCTGCTTGTTACGTGTGCACCGTCCACAATTGAGTGTAGACAGCCTCAGTGTGGGTTGTATCATTTGTTATGGGTGAAGGAACAGAGGGAGGGCATGGGGCAGTGGTGCGATGGCCCCCTCCCGCATGGGGCCTGTGGGGAAGCATGGGAAACGACTTCTATATTGGCCTTATTCCCCCTCCCACACAAACTTTCTGAGATTTGACAATCGTTCCAAATAGGATGTGTGTCACATTTGAGTGATGAGTGTCACGTACTGGTGTGTGTTGTCCTCTTGGTCCAATTCCTATACAAAACAAATTATTGCCAGTGATGCGTTTGCTGCCCCCCCCCCCCCCGACCGAGAGACATGGGTGCTTACTGCAAACATGCCGGAAACAATATGACGTCAAAAACCTTGAAAAGCGCTTACAGCCGGAGGATAATTACAAGCATGTCCTCGAGAAGCACCCGATGGAGAGAGCGGGAGCTCCCCACCCCACCCTTAAATCACACATGTTTTACTTAAACATTAAATACGGAAGAGTATTTCCGGGGAAATAGTTTTTACCCCACCCGCTTGCTACCCATACCCTGTATCCACACACACCCGCTTTTCATTCACAATCAATCGCAATGATCCGCTACCCCGCCCAGTTATTTTTTACCAGCACTTTTCTTCTTAGTTAAGGAGTTTCAGAACAGTTGCTCCCAAAGCCACAGTTTTGCGTTGATAAATGCAACACTTACGTGCATGAAGCTAATGCTTATGACTATGAGCGCAGGCAGCGACATTGTGCAGTGCTCGAAAAGCATCAACCTGACATCTCGTAAATTTTTCACCCATTCTGAAAGTTTTCGCTACGTATGTACCCAACCCAGTCCGTTACCAATTTCACGTTGGCACCCATGACTGTACCCGACCCGTGATGCCTTCCATTGCACAGCAAATCGACTATCTTATGAGTGCTCGCCGAGTCTCCCCCGGCTTGTCCCATTAAAAAATGCTGCAGCTCTGGTTGTCCTAAATTTATTAAACGTGCCGACAGCATTTAAACACAACGCATTTTCTGGCTACACGATGTAATGGTAGCTGAGTGTGACAATGCGTGTTTAGTTTTTTTCAAACCTTTTTGCACCCGGATGAACGTCAGGCGGCTGAGACCATCGCTCGCGTCTTGCACAAGGCGTGTGAAATTATCTTGCCGCAACACCACTGGGAACCGTTCCTTCGACCAACCTGTTGGCCACAGACTGCTGGAGAAAGCGAGGTAATGCGAAAGAGACAGATGGGTGCAATCGGTTACGGCTGATCGGCGCATTTGTCTTGCCAATCTGTCCCAGCTATCTGTCCCTGGAGTTTGGAGATAATAAATACAAATACCGTCATTTATTTTCAACTCAAAGCTCTATACAAATAGTACAACAGCGTTATGTATCAAAACTTGATCCCTCGCACGCCAAGGAAGCAGAAATTTAAGCATCGGAGACCAGCAACCAATAACGCGTGCGTCAACAACCGTGCACTGCAACCAAACATGTCCAGTGGCCCGTTACTGGGGGACGATCGCTTCGACACGGCATTCCATTCATAACCACTCACAAAAAGGAACTCTCCGTGTACGTTTCGTTGAACACCTAAGCGTTCTACCCGGACATGTAACCAATCACATCCAGGTGGCATGATACGCAATCTACATCACAGAGCGTCACCTACGAGCCAGGCGCGTCGCACGCACGGGGTGGCCGAAAGGACCTTGTGTTTCGGTCGCCGTCTGAGAACGCTGACAGGCTCGCCTGGGCCTGGGCCGCTGGTAACCCCCTGCGCCACACCTGCCCCGAGCCCGAGCCGGTCGGGCCGCGCTCTGCGCCACTGAGCGCGACGCTGCTGGGGCCGCGGCCGCGTCTCTGCCTCCTCTGACTAGTCCAGGCGGTCGCCGTCAGAGCCGGGGCGCCGCCAGCGCCCCCGGCCGGCCGCCGGCAGGACCACCGCCAGGACCGGAGGTCACGCTGACGAGGCCGCCGCGCCGCTCCCCGCGCCCCACTCGCCCTCCGCCGACCCGGCCATGCCCCGTGTGGTGTCCCACAAACCCCCTCAAAGCCGCCTCGTCGTGCTCGTAACCACGCACGCATGCACGCACGCACTCACACACTCATGCTTGCAAACCGACGTCCGCTCCGACGCGTTGACACGACCTGCATAGTTTCCAGTGAGTAAAGGATACCACGTGAGCTCCTACCAAACGCGACGCAACGCACTCTCGCTGCGCGCACCGCACTCATTACGCGCGCCGCCGTCGTACCACCATAAAGGGCTTTGCATATTGGCGAATGTACAGTTTGTACAAAACATAAATACAGCGATAAAAATCATGACAACACAAGGTTAACATCACATGTTGTCCCCGCGAAATGAGAAACAGGGAGCTCCGGGGTCGACGGTGTAGGGACAGCAGCACACGTCTGCGTGGCAGGAGGCGAGCGGGAGACTAGACACAGCTGATACAACATCTCCAGATTCCGGAAGCGGGAGCACAGAAAACAACCAGACACTTATCATAAGATCACAGGCTTTCATATTAATGTCTTTGGAAGGCGGACGCCCGCCGTCGCGCCGCGCGCTCTCTCGCACCGATAACACGCAGCGCCGGCCGCCGCAGACTTATGGAATGTTCCGCGGGCGCGAGGCCGCCGCCGCACAACACTCGTGGAGGGCATGACATTTTGATGAGTTCTCCGCGCGTCCGCCGCACGGCGCCACCAGCGTCCGCGCCATTAAAGCCCGTTCACCCGGCGCCGGCAGCGCCGCCCGCCGGCCACTACACGAAGTACGCCTCGGACATGTTGGCGTGGATCTGCGCGCGTAGCGCCTGCACACTGTTCATGATCTTCTTCTGGTGGCCAACAAGCGTGACGCCAAGCGCGGGCAGGTCGGCGTGAGTCAGCCGGGTCACGGCCTCCATGCTGGCGATGCCCGCGCGCTGCAGGTTTTCCAGGTAGCGACTCATCTTGATGGAGGCGAGCCACTCCTCGACGGTGGTGATCTGCGTCAGGTCGGGCGCGTCCGGCGCCAGCGGGTTCGTGTTCCTGTCGGTGGGGCAGCGGGAGGGGGTCAGCGGGCTCGGTCTCATGCTGGAGCAGGGGGGCCGAGAGCCAGGTCACGGCTGCGTCTGGAGCTAGCCCGGGTTGTGTAGCAGCGTTCATCGTCCGATGACGCGGAATGAATTACATTTTGCTAGTTCTCAATCCGGGCTGATTATGGGGCGAGACAGTCAGTGCAGTATGACGCAAAGCATAATTAAATAAGGCTGGAATGCCCTGAGTAAAGATACTATCAATCTTTCATACAACTGTCAAATCAGGTGGATGCCGGTGAATTCTACTGAGATGTGTCGGTGGCCAAAACAGATTAATTGATAAATGGTTTCCAGTCAGAGCACGCTCATTTGGAAACTAAGACTGTCCCTCTTAACATCTGGCAAATGTGTTACATCCTCACAGTTCTCCTCGAAACAATATTTCCCAAGGAAACCACAATACCGGAAACGGAAAGTTTTTCTCGTCTGTCTTCATTCTACTTTATGTCATATCCCATCTGCAACCACTGTGTTGGTTGTTTGGAATGGCGGATAACGAGAAGTTGAGGACTGATTTCTGGTATTTTCGACAGTCCAAAGAAAATGACGGATGCAAAACAAAACAGGTGTCAAGGCGTGCAATGGTTGAAGAAAGCATCATCAACTAATGTCGCCAAACGGCATCTAAGAGAAGACAAAGAGCAGACTCAAACCCCTTTATCCATGCAGCTCCATAGCAAAATCGGAGAGGTAGGTGACAAGGTTCTGAAGCAGGGACAGTAAGCGGCGGAGGGGCGACAGAGGGGATGGTGTGTCCCGGTCATTGGACGGCTTGACCGAAGAATATACTAAGCGGAGAGGGAAGTCGGAGCCGAGAAGTTAGGCTCATCCGAACTTTGACTTCCGGGCTTCTCAACCGAAGACTGTAACAACATGCGTACTGAGCTACAAAAGCCACGAAACTACAAACATTCGGCGCTACGGCATCAAGAAAGGAAGCAAGCCACCACACAAAGCCAAGCACATGCCGATTACCTGGCGCACCAAACGCAGGCAGCTCACACAAACTCTGACCTAGGGAAATCGGTGGGAAACTGCACCCAGTGCGATGTAACGGAGTAGGGGGAGTAAGCTGCCAGATGCCTGAGCAGAAGAGAAAAACTTTCCGTCACCAAAAGCCCCCGGCGACGTTAAAGCCAAACACCTCACACGCGTCACCCGTCCCTTAGCAGGAGTTAAGGGAATGCGAATCGTTTTACGATTGTGCTGACTGCGTCACATGAAGAGGGGAACGCGCCATTGTCACCGCTCCTATTTACAAACGGCTTTCTCCTCAACTGCAGTACATCCGAAATCGCCAAGTAGATCACTGATATCGGTAATGAACACAACTGTACACTGCATGACCCAGAAGCAGCGAGCGACGGCGGGACGCTCTGCGGGATATATTACGCACCCAAACCAGATCCACCGATCAGGGCACACTCCAAACGTCGACCAATGGTGGCACATGGCCCACCACAATGTCGACATTCCGATTAGGTCCACCAAACAGGCCTCACATTTTCTTTGCTCTACTGCGGGCGGGCTTTGAGCTGATACCAAATAAACAGTTTTTCAACTCGTGCAAATTCCATGGATCTGGAAGGTCAATTTTACGCTTATTTTCGTCGACAGCGCTATATGATGAGAGCTAATGAGGCGCCTCCAATGAAATATTCCCACAATTCCAGGAGCTACTCTCACGCTACAGGACCTGCGTTACGGCCCAACATTTTCAGCATTATAGCCTAGTAGGGGACAACTCTGGACAAAGGGGAACATTTAGTCTGATCTGTCAGAGGATACCGCACTATTCTGCATAGCTACCTCAAAACGCTTTCGGTCAGTTCAATCCTTTTACAACTATGTCGCATGATGATTTCATGCACTAACATAACTACCATATAAAACCTTGATTTGAGCACACCTCCCAACGCGCGCATCATACCAAAACATTCCCACTTGACATTCCTAAGGTGCATTCGTCGCGCGAATTCGTCTAAAGTGAATTCATCGCGGAACTATCGCATTCACGAGACTTCTCCAATTCTGATCATCACACCGCGACCCCGGCGGCCCAGCGCGAGCCGTCAGCTGTCCTCCAGCACTGTCACCGTCTACCTCTGGGACCAGGACAGGCTGCGCCGCGACTGCAGCGCCGTCTATCAAAGTCTTTTCACCTGTTGGGCGCCACCTTGCGGAGCGTGTCCGGACAGCTGATCAGGTTGTCCAGCGTTTTCACTATGCTGATAAAGGAGGGCCTGTGGGAGCGCTCCTTCTGCCAGCAGTCCAGCATCAGCTGGTGCATCGCCTCCGGACAGTCCATGGGGGCTGGCAGTCTGCAGCAGGTGGTTCGCAGGGCGTCAGCAAGGCCGACATGGGACGGGTTTCGAGTGTCAGCCGTTACAGCGGCCCACAGTGGCATATCAGCCATCCTCGGTTTCATTGTCGTGCTCTTTCACGTTGCCCTCCTCATTAACTCGCATTTTTTAGTTTTCCAGTGCACCGACCTGCAACGCCCACCGTGCACGCGCAACAACGTGGTGGGAGGTGTCACACACCACACCGAGATACGTGACATCACACGGCGTGATGCGCGACTTCTCTACATGGAGTATGAGACACGTCATGACCAGAAATGCTGCTCTGCAGGGCGGAGTGAAGCCTGACCTGTAGCCCTTCTCTATGCTCTTGATGACGTCCTGGTTGCTCCAGTTCCAGTAGGGCCGCTCGCCGTACGACATGACCTCCCAGGCGACGATGCCAAAGCTCCAGACGTCCGAGGCGGAGGTGAACTTGCGGAACGCTATCGCTTCAGGGGCCGTCCACCGCACGGGGATTTTGCCGCCCTGTAACGGAGCGCGCCAACCTCAACCACCCGCACCTGGAGCGGTGTCCACCGGCACACCAGCGGCCGCAACACAGCCCGGCGGACGGCGGCAGCGGCGCCGGCAAGCCGGGAAGCGTTAGCGACGACACCGAAGCGGCGGCTCATTAGGGTAGGCTAAGCGTCACACGTAGCCCACCTCTGTGTGGCGCGCTCCTCGGTATCCAACCCTGACATGTGTACCGACCTGCACGAACCAGAGTGAACTTTAGACGTCACTTGGCGGCAAACGCGATCACGGATCACCAGACAAACGTGGCCGTGAAGATTACACCGCTGCACATGACAGTTCGGCGGAAACTGACAGATGTTAAACGCTGCGAGTTCAGTCGCTGACCCGTGGCTACGACCACGAAAGCCACCTGAGCACAAACTGAAGAGAGTGACAAGAAATCACCTCATTCGAAATCCAAGGCAACATCACAACAACGCTGCTGTACACGGCGACGGCGACATCGCCAGTGCCTGCCACACCTCTCCTTCTGCGCCTCCGCCGCCGTGCGGCCGGCTGCGCGCCCGACTCAGCACTGACCCGGGTGGTGTAGGCGCCCTCGGTCGTGCTCTCGATCTCTCGACTCAGCCCGAAATCGGCGATCTTGCACACCAGCTGCGAGTTGACCAGTACGTTGCGTGCCGCCAGGTCGCGGTGCACGTAGTTCATCTCGGAGAGGTACTGCATGCCGGCCGCGATACCCCGCAGCATCCCCACCAGCTGCAGCACCTGGAACTTGCCGTCGTTCGCCTGTCGCGGGGAGAGGGGCAGTCAGAGCCTGTCACGGGAAGGGGTGGCGGTCAGAGCCTGTCGCGGGGAGGGGCGGCGGTCAGAGCCTGTCGCGGGGAGGGGCGGCAGTCAGAGCCTGCCGCGGGAGGGCGGCGGTCAGAGCCTGCCGCGGGGAGGGCGGCGGTCAGAGCCGTCGCGGGGAGGGGCGCGGTCAGAGCCTCGCGCGGGGAGGGGCGGCAGTCAGAGCCTGCCGCGGAGAGGGGCGGCAGTCAGAGCCTGCCGCGGAGAGGGCGGCGGTCAGAGCTGCCGCGGGGAGGGGCGGCAGTCAGAGCCTGTCGCGGGGAGGGGCGGCAGTCAGAGCCTGCCGCGGGGAGGGGCGGCGGTCAGAGCCTGCCGCGGAGAGGGGCGGCAGTCAGAGCCTGTCACGGGGAGGGGCGGCAGTCAGAGCCTGTCCGGGGAGGGGCGGCAGTCAGAGCCTGTCCGGGAGGGGCGGCAGAGGGGCGGCGCAGTCAGAGCCTGTCGGGGAGGGGCGGCAGTCAGAGCCTGTCACGGGGAGGGGCGGCAGTCAGAGCCTGTCGCGGGGAGGGGCGGCAGTCAGAGCCTGTCGCGGGGAGGGGCGGCAGTCAGAGCCTGTCGCGGGGAGGGGCGGCAGTCAGAGCCTGCCGCGGGGAGGGGCGGCAGTCAGAGCCTGCCGCGGGGGGGGGCGCGGTCAGAGCCTGCCGCGGGAGGGGCGGCAGTCAGAGCCTGCCGCGGGGAGGGGCGGCAGTCAGAGCCTGCCGCGGGGAGGGGCGGCAGTCAGAGCCTGCCGCGGGGAGGGGCGGCAGTCAGAGCCTGCCGCGGGGAGGGGCGGCAGTCAGAGCCTGTCGCGGGGAGGGGCGGCAGTCAGAGCCTGCCGCGGGGAGGGGCGGCAGTCAGAGCCTGTCACGGGGAGGGGCGGCGGCCGGAGCCTACACGCCCGTCGCCGTGTTACTGAGAACACACAATGCGCTTCTGTTTGTGAGTGTGAAGCTGCGACAGTTCCGACATTGCTGACATTTTACAGCTAACACCCGCCGTTCTCACATTCTTACCTTCGCACATTCTCACGACACTAGTACATACATCACCTGCTATTGGGTCAGCAGCCCAGGACACCGCTGCACCGGGACACAACCTCGCTTGTGGCCACAAATGTCCAGGGCAGTTCAACTTGTTTATAATTTTCCCACACCACCACCGGAAAGCACCTGCAGCACATTCGCCCTTAACACACCACCTGCCACAATTCGCCTGCTCACCCTCAGGAACGTGTCCAGGCTTCCGTTCTCCATGAACTCGGTGATGATCATCACTGGGTTGCTCTTGGTCACCACGCCCTGCAGGAAGATGACGTTCGGGTGCTCGAACTGGCCCATGATGGACGCCTCGGTGAGAAAGTCGACTCGGGCCTTCTCCGACGAGCCCGGCTTCAGCGTCTTGATAGCTACCGTGATCTCCTGGCGGGCCGGAATCTGCCGGAGCGGCGGCCGGTCAGGTCACAGAGGTCACAGAGGTCACGGCCAGCCGCCGCCGTAACGGCAGCAGCCACACTGGGCCAGGCCGTTACCGGCTCAGGAACGCAAAGTCATATACAACTGGTCATGACAGGTCACGGCACTTGGAGTCGAAATTCACCATCCCTATGCGCCGGTGCATCAGCCCCTTCTGCGTGTCTGCCGTCATCTAGCGACGCCATGATAACAAGGGCCGATGGAGCTTCACGACGTTTCGCAGCTGGTAATTTTGAGTGCAGAGCGCTTCTCCCGGGAAGTCGGGTTACGATAAGCTTCAGGTAAAGCTGCCCTGCACGACCGGCGTCTCCCGAGAGCCCACAGCACCGCAACAACAGCAGCCCAGTCCAGGGACGCGAGCACATCAGCCGGCAACAGCCCGTCAGCACACAGCGCCTGCTGTTTCGGTGCGTCACGCCCAGCTGCTTCGTCACGACGCGTCGATTGCAGGCTATCACAATCGCCCCACGCCCTGCACGTGTCTGAACTGGACACCGCACCGCCGGCCCGCCGTGTCCCAGCGGCCGACACCGCAGCGGCACGTGGCCACGCGATATGGCCTGCTCCCGTTGCGTGACGGCTGGCTACAGAGCGCGGTCGCAGCGCCTCGTGAGAGGGCATGACCCAGAGCACCGACGCCAAGGTCTCCGGCAGCGGTGACCCGGACAGCCTCCATGGGCTGGGCCCAAATTGGGTCGGCAGCTTGCGGTCGCCGCGTTCCAGCCCCCCCCCCCCCCCCTCCCTTGTCGAACCGGACCACGCGAGCGGCAGCGTCGTTGGCAGTTGTTTACAGCCACTTAGCACCGCGCACCTGTTACCGGCAATGGCAGAAAAGTGTGGCCAACACGGCCCCGAAGCACGCGCCCGCGCCAGTACCGGGGCTCATTTAGCCGCCGCCGCCGGCAGCCCTGGCCATGGCGTTTGCCGTTGGTCGCACCACGTATTGCAATGCCCGCCTGCTGCGCCCGGCCGGGGGAAAGCATTTGGCCGCCGGCCCCCGACAGCGTTACAGATGGTTTCTTCGCTTTAATGAGCCCAACGTTGCAATGTCGGCTACTGAATAAGTCAGCCGGCACGACCCCCGATAAATGCACGGCAATGGCTGCAAGCATGCCGCCCCAGGCTTTTACCGCGGCCGAGTTGAGCTGTTTGCCGGGAGTCCCGGCGGCGCTATGGCCACGATTGGGCTTCGCTTCGCGAGCCCTCTATTCAAACAAGTCGCCGAGCGAAAGTTTGAGCATTAGCGGCTACTGGTTCAAGTATTTGGCGCCACCAACTTGTGCATGCTAATCGACTCTTGTGCAGGTAAGACCAGCCGTACCGATCACAGCGGCCCCGGTGGCGCGTGAGTTATACATGTGGAGCAACTTTTCCACTACGCTAATGGCAGCTCTACCAACTTCCATGGCGATAGCCTCGATCTGTTTTGGCTGCTTCGTCGATGTAGGTTTCCTTTAACGTCCAACGTTTCTTTTTAAAAATTTAATTGCGCCCACGCGAACGGTGTTTCCCTGCGATCAAAGACTTCTCCATGGTGGTGCTGATTATGTCATCACCATTCCGGCGTATGACGGCGCAGAACGGATCGAATCGCTTTGCAATCAGGCAACCACTTTCAGTAAACCACACAGCGGTCAGCTAATCACTAAAACACCACAAGGCCTCTGCCAAAACATAACGCCGCGACTCGACGAAACACCACGACACGGCGGCCGCCGCAGCTCAGCCGCCGCCGTGGCTCAGCAGCCGCCACCGGACACCTCCCCGGCCCGCTCCCGGGTCCGCCGCCGCCGCTGCCCGGCAGATCACCCTCTCACCGCAGCTCACCACCGCCACTCACCCGCAGCTTGCCGCGGCACACGTCGCCGAACTCGCCGCCGCCGATCACGGCCTCGATGATGATGTGCGAGGCGTCGATCTCGCGCGCGAACTCGCGGATCGCCTGGTTCGGGTCCTCGTACGTGTGCGGGTCGATGTAGGTGCGCTGGTGCGTCACCGGGTTGAACAGCGGCGTCGTCACTGAAACAGGGGGCGCCGCTGAGCGGCCGGGCCGCGGTCGGACGCGGCCGGGTCGCCGCGGGAGCTGTCGGCGCAGTGTGTCGCCTGACACGTGGGGGAGTGTCACGTGAGTGTCAGGCGACTCCATTAGATCGGCCCCGGCCGCTGACGGAGTGGCAACATCGCTTTGTGAATGTGACGTGCCTTACGAACCGGGCACGGTCAGTTTGTATGACAAGTAGTGAGCGACTTGCGCGACGCTGCAGACATTTGAGGCGAGTGAAACAACACAGAGCCCACATTTGGATGCCCCAATGTGGCCGTAAGTAATGGCAGGACACCCAACATGCCGCCCACAATGAGAACCTGCTCGCTGTATTCATGCTGTGGCCGATGTGATCACATGATGGCATGATAATCCGATTCCCTGGAAGTCCAGTACATGCCAGGCACATTAAATGGAAGGCATGAATGGTCTTTCTCTGCGAGTCACGTGGCAGCTGATGCCTGATGGCTTCGAAGAACACCCTCCGTTGGCTGCTAATGCACCGCCGACTTAAGTCCGATTAACGCGGTGCAGTTCGAGGAGCTGGATATTTGGTGCAACGGCGAGACGTCTGGGACAATGGGGACCAACACAGGAATGCCACCGCCGCCTCAACTGGCGTCAGCACCAGCTCAGCCATGACGCCGCTGATATTACCCGGATACGTGTGCCGAGTTCTCAAGTTGCGCACTTGTATAACTGTCCAGCCAGCCCATTGATCTTGTAGACATTCGCTGTCCCATTGTTTTGCCAGCATGCATCGTTTAAATTCCCATTAAAACGGCAGTGTCGCTGTCGCCTTCTGCATAAGTCTACTGCAGTGACATTCGGGCAGCCTCCACCGCCCAGCTGGGAACTCAAGTAGCAGAATTTAATTCATCAGTCGCAAATTTCATCGTCGTCCTCTATGAAATATGCAGTGAGCAATTACATTTTCAGTAGACCAGCTGCCCCAATGCCGCCAGCCGGATAGCATTGATTCGCCTGCTTTGGGTCGCGTCGGCGGCCGGCGGCCGGTGGCTTGGGGGGGGGGGGGGCGCTGCCACCTGAACGCCATGTTTCCTGATCGTCCGGCTGATAAGGTGGCGGCCATAAAGTCGGCCCTCGCAGCACGCGAGCGGCCGGGTGCCGTGCTCGTTCACTTACTTCCTGCCTTGTGGGTCTGCACAATTGATCCGTTCCCAACGTGGTGCACTGCAACAGAGGAGCGGGCCGGACTCATTAGCCGTCCATAACACGGCCCGAGCCAGCGCAGCGGCAGCAGCCAATGACGTTGCCCGCGCACCGGCAGCCTTTAGTCGAGACACGTGACTGCGGTCACCGCGATTTACACAGCGGAAACAAGCGACTGTTTCCTTGTGACGACAGCCACATGAGAGAACGGAGAGACACGAACAGAGAAGGAAACATCGCACTCTATCTACTAGTGGCGCAAAAGACGTCCGGTAACACCACTGATAAGCTCGTAGCGCGCTGCGTCAACATCACGGACCAAGTCATAAATGGCATAATGAGCAGCAGCAACTGTCCGAAAATAGATACAAAAGCGGCATTAAATACTATGTTCACACAAAGTGCCAACGCATGCATTTTATCTACAGAGCAGCCTCCAGCTAAGCGGGACACAGCGGCCACCAGGCAGGCCTCCCCACTCCGTGGAGCGCGCCGGGCCCAATGTACAGCACGGGGTCTGTAGAGGCGACGGGGACATGCCAAGCAAGCGGTGCAAACTGTGGCAGCGAGGCAGGCTTCAGACTTACTGTAGGTGACTACGAGGCCTGGCCACATGAAACGACACGGACAGCTGGTCAGTGGACCTTTTGTCGGTCTCAGAGAGGGGACTGATCTTTGACAACAGGTCGCTCCACGAGCGGGCTGCAGTAGTCTTTCAGTCGGAATATGACCCAAATTTAGTTCATTATTTAGCCCTAGTCCCATGATTAGTATTTTACTTTTAGGATCTCATGAACCTTAGCCTTACCGGTCTTAGGCACCCAGAATACGTCTTACAGCAACGCAATGTGAAAGTGTGACCTCCTTGCGAAATAATCCTACGTAGTAGAAATGAATCTCAACCCGACCAGTTCCACCCAGCATAGATGGCGCCACGTCGCTTATCTACGCTACATGGAGGCGCCGAGAGGCCGGCCAACTCCTCGGGCTGGGGCGCCAGCTCCGCTGGCACCAGGCGGCCGGGAATGCCCCCATCTGCGGGCTCCGCCGACCGCCCGGCTCGCGCCCGGTCACCACGGAGCAGGGAGTCGCCACACTCGCGCCCCGTCACCGGAGCGGGATTCGTGGGGGGGGGGGGGGGCGTCCGAGCACGAGAGCTACCGCGGGTCTCAATCTCTCGGCTGATCGGCAATGGGCAGAGGACAGCACATAGCTGAGACGATGGCTCCCTGCAGGCCACCGCCCAGTACGCGACCAACGCGCATCGCAGTGAGCCAAAGCACATCGTTTGGAACGGGTGTTCGGAAGGAGGAATGGACGCGAGGGTGTAGAGTGGACACGAGGGTGGAGAGAAGGGTCACGAGGGTGGAGAGCGGACGCGAGTGTAGACAGAGTGGTCGCAAGGGTGGACTGAACAGGAGACGGCGGCTGTCTTCTGCACCGAGAAGTGCTGCGCGATGTACGACTGGTCTTCATACCATCCCTCCTGTCCATCGGTGCCCCGCCCGCCTCCACTATCGCCCGAGCCAGGCCCTCATCAGCCCCGGACCAGCGCCTCCTCCACAGCTGCCGGCCGCCGTCGGCCCTCCCGGCAGGTGCTCGTGTGTAGCGTGTGCGGCTGGAGCCGGGTCACCGGCTGCCGGGCCGAGCCGAGCCGGGCCGGCGCGTCCGCCGCTTCCGGCGCCCCCAAGCCGGACGCGCCGTCGACACGTGTCGGGTTGGGTCAGCGGGCGCTGATGGGTCCGCCGAGATAGCGGCCGGCCGACACGCGACGCCACTCGAAGTCACGCCGACAGAGGCCGGCCCACCGGGGAGTGCCCACCGCCGCCACCGTGGCCACATGGGCCAGGCCGGGGGTGACGCTAGTGGCCGGGTCCTTTGCGGACGGGGACACTGAGGTCGTCTTGCGCATGTTGAGTGCGCCGGCGGGCTGATGTGTTGCATGACGGGTGTTTCACGGGCAGGAATCGTCAGCATAATCATCCGCACCGCAGGGCGGGTTTTTGCTGTCTGTTGTTCGTATCTCGAGTGCGTCCAGCTTCCTTACCACATTGAAACAGACTGGTAAGCGTGACATGCACCACATGAGGTCCGCGAAACAGATCGCCTGAGCTAGTGTGCGTGAGTGGGCCATGTGCGTGGTGGGTTGTGTGTGAGTGTGTGTGTGTGTGTGTGCGCGCGCGCAATGCGGGGACCATGTAATGGTGTCGGGTGCAACCTCCAAACGCGTGGTTGGCCAGGGCTGGTGCTGATGGTGCAGTGCGGATGGGGTGCAAGCTGGTTAGTTCTATGTACCTTCACCATTGCGATACTCCAATGTATCACAGTCGCTGGGTTGTTTCTTATTACACTCTTCGTTACCTCGGCTGCAAAAGAACCAAACAAGAGGCGTTACGGACTTGCCATTGCGCCTGTTAAACCCGGTCACATTGGGAAAACGGGCATAACCAGAGACAGAAACAGTTTACTCTGCACACTGATGAATATACATATAATATCATATACCTATTCGATGAATACATACGTCCATGAAAACAAGCAGCCCAGTCAGGACCCAGACAGTCACACGAAAATCACTGCCAACTGAAAACTGATGCACCTTGCTACTTTCCAACCTCATCAAACGGCACAGTGACGCCCCGCACAGCCAAACGATTATCCATCTCGGTAGGCAATGGACTCCTTCAAGCCCAGCCAGCCGCCTGAACAGCGCCACGCCGGCGGCGTCTCACCTTCGGAGGAAGAAGACGGCCATGATGACGATGATGACGAGCAGGGCGATGACGGCCACGGTGGCGCCGGCGATGATGCGCACGTTGACGCCGTCATCCTCGCCCACGTACGCTGCGGCGCAGGCCGAGCGGGTCAGCAGGCGCCCGGCGCAGGTCACCGACGTGACGCGGCGGCGTGCGGCCGAGGGAGTGTGTGTGTGGGGGTGGGGAGAGTGGCTGAGGAGATTCTGAACATCAAACACAGATTCGTTGCACGGATGCGCGTTAAGTCAGAATGAAACAACTCAGGCGAGCTTTTGAGTAAATTGAAGCCCTGTAAAACCGTCAAGCGAAAGAAAATTGCGTCTGGTGAGATTGACAAGACAACCGGGTTTCAGAGGCCGGGTCTAGCATGCTTCTGGTGCGATTAACAAGACAACCGGGCTTCAGAGACCGGGTCTAGCATGCGGCCAGTCCGCGCTCACTCGACACATGAAGAGGCACATCGCCGCCTACATAACGTCAAGCAGAGGGAGTGCCAGCACACATCGCGCTCGGTGACGGGGTCACTGCTCGAAGTGACAGCACGACAGCGCCAGCCGCCTGCCGCTCGTGTCGGGCGATGAATCACATCAGCGCCGCTCTCCCGGCCGGGGAGCGGCCAGTCGATATCATCGCGCGCCTGCTGCACCCGCCAGCCTTTTAGCAAGGCGTCATTAATGCATTTTGTTTGTCGCGTGGAGACCAGCGTGGTCATCTGCCGGCCGGCAGGAGACGGGACACCGGGCTACGTGAGCCGCGGGAGGCCCCAGCCGGGGGAGGCCCCGACCGGGCGGCCGTTCCGGAAACCCGCACCCTCTGTCACTGCGCTTGTTTAGCAAGCGCGCGCGATGTTTATCGACGGGGCTGCATTGATTGGCTGAGGCAGTTGACCTCATGGCTTGCGTCAGCACGCCGCTTCAAAGGAGTGTCCACCGCACGTTTGTCGCCTCAGCTCTCCGTGCTATTGTACTTTGGAGCCAACGTAGCCCGCTCAGCCGCACGTCAGTGCAATCTGACATGGTTCCATTGCCAGACTACAGACCTTGTGCTCTATAAAAAGCGGCTTGTACCACATTCCAAAAGGCTTTCAGCTCTGCTTGAGGCTCTGTCCCGAACCACAACTCACACTCAACCAACGTTCACGCCGTCCAGCTTTGCCCTCGTCGTGCGGTTCGCGGTACCTCCCACGGTTAATGCACACCCATGGTGTAGTTGGAACCAGGCCGAGCTGGGCCGGCGTCGTCCGCCGTCGGAGCAGGCCGGACGCGCCGCGCCGAGTTAGCGGGCGATCGGCGCCCGACGTCACCAGCTCGCGGCGCCGCCGCCGACCCATCTGCGCGCCCGAGTGGACCATGCATTTTACAGCGGCCAGCGCCGGCCCTCAATCTCGCCGGCCAGATAGAGACCCATCACACGCGGATTTATGATTCGAATAAATCACAGGCGCTGTGGGGCGGGCGTTCACGGGCGCGCCACGGTCGTGAGCTGCGCTGAGATCGCGACAGCCGGGGCGGCCGCGCCGGAACGTCTGCACCAAATGCCGCATGTCGCCTCGTCCTCACAACTGGCACCTCCCGTTGGGCGGGGTGGGCGGGCAGGTACCGACTCTCCCGAGGTGAGCCCGTGGTCTCAGCGGCGCTGTGTGGGGGGGGGGGGCAGGGCCCTGGTACCTCCCACTGCGCGAGGTGGACGGGCAGGTACCGACTCTTCCCAGGCGAGCCCGTGGTCTCAGCGGCGCTGTCTGGGAGGACAGGGCCCTGGCACCGACTCTCCCGAGGTGAGCCCGTGGTCTCAGCGGCAATGTGTGGGAGGACAGGGCCCTGGTTTCTCCGATTGCGACCGCACTCAGCTATGCGTAAAAGATGGGGACAAAAGGTCGCATCGTTAGCGCTTCCTATCATTGCCAAGCTCATGATCTTTCACCTCCCAGTGCAGGGACAAAACGGTAGCGTCCGAGCCACCTGTAATGCCGCGCGCGGAAAGTCGGTTCAGTCTGCTTCCAGCACTGGCGACTGAAAATGCAGTAAAGAGCCCTGACCTATGCCCGCACTTACCAACAGACTTCGAACAGACCAAATCCCACTGAACCTACCACCAGAGACCACAGCTTTCCGTCCAAGTGCTTCCTGTTTCACGTGTGCTCCAAATCAGGCGGTACTTGCCACGCCAGAGACCGACGCCTCACCTTTGCTACAGGCCAGGGCGCACTTCCTCCCATGCCAGTGGTCTAGGCTCACCCGCCGCCAGAAGCCGTCCATAGCGTCCGTGCCGGCGCCGCAGGTCTCTCACCTGTGCCCAGCATCTGGCCGGTGGTGCCGAAGACGGGCTCACTGAACTCTCCCCAGCCGCGATTGGTGCGCGCGCGCACCTGGAACCCGTACTCGGTGCGCTGCTGCAGTTTGTCGACGGTGATGCGCGTCTCATGCGTGAACTCGCTGCTCGTGTTCGACTCCTGGCCCTGCGGGCGGCGGGGGCGGACAGGCCGGTCAGTGGGTGCGCACGGCAGGCTGCGCGGCTGGTGAACGGGGTCACTTGCACCGCCAGGGGGAAAGCAACTACACGGCGTAGAACGTCGGGTCGGACGCCCCACGTTAGGCAGGTAGGTAGCACGAAACCCAGACTCTGGCGAAGCGAGCGGTAACATGGCCCAACTGCATCAGCGCCGGCGCTGCGGCATCAGCGACCGTGACAGCAACAGCGGCAACAACAGCGGCAGCAACAACAGCAGCAGCAGCAGCTGAACAGCACCCCTCCCGAGAGTTACATCAGCCTCGGCGGTCTGGTGGCGTGGCTCTGTCGGGGCGTACCCGCTCCTGCACGGCCGGTCGGCGGCGGCTGGACGGCGGCGGCCGGGCGGCGGCGGCCGGGCGGCGCCGCGCCAGGTCAGCGACAGCCGCCAGGCCCGGCCCGGCCGACCGCCCGCGCGCACACGCACAAAGCCGGCCGGTCTGCACGCGATTAGCGCGGCGCTGAGCCGCCGAGCCGTCCGCTGCAGCCATGCCGGGAGGGAGGCGCCGCCGCCGCCGCCGCCGCCGCCGCCGCCGCAGCAGCAGCCAGGCCTCGATAATACGGTTATCCACCCCGGCCGAGCGCGGAGAGGGTGGCAGTGGCCGCGGCGCGCGGGCTGGCCCGCGCCGTCTGAGTCATCACCGCTCTCCTGAGTCACCTCGTATCGGCACCGCGACGACGACACGGTACTGTCGGACGCGGTGCACGGCGAACACGCCAATCTCGCACCGCACGAGCAGCCTGACCACGACCAACACCGATCTCGCGCTGTTTGCACGGCGTAGGCAAACGAGCCGCCGCCGCACCCTCAGTGTCAACCGGCCAGCCGACCGGGCGCGGCGTGCAAGCGCTTACCTTGACGAAGAAGCGGGCCTCGTAGCTGAGCACCTCCTCCTGGGTGTCGGCCGGCGGGTCCCAGGCCAGCACCACCTCCGAGGAGCGCACCACGCTGACGCGCACCTCCGACACCATCGACGGCACTACAGCCGGGGGCAGCGGAAGGCACGTCACGGGGTGTGCGCGGACGCCAGCGCACGCACATCACTGACACGCCAGCACGCATCACGGACACGCTAGCGCACAGCATGGACACATCAGCGCACATCAGGGACATGTCAGCCATGAAGGCGGCCTGCCGGCGCATATGAACGGGAGCGCCGGCCAGCTCAGGAGCGCGTCGGCCTCGTGAGAGAGCACTTCAGTCCGTATGGGAGAGAGAGACACACAAACAGCAGCCCACGCCAGCGCCAGGGACGCTGCTGCTCACCACGCGCCGCGCGGCCGGCAGGGGTTATCGGGTCGGCTTAGGGCCGGCAGTGCATGCAACTGATGGCTTTGAGACAGACATGAACACGTGCACGCCGAAGAGTCCGGCATCCGTGCTGTGTGCAGCACACCCAGTTACAGGAAACTGGCTCGGTGCCACTGGCATGCAAATGTCGAGCACGAGGACAGGCTTCGTGCGGCGGGAGCCCCTCGTGACGGAGGGAGAGGGGAGGGGGTCTGGTGACCTATGCGTGACCACTAAACGTTTCGTGTCTCTCCGTCGCAATCCCTGCGTGACAGAGCCTCTGGAAACGAGCGAACACTTAGAGCCGAACGTAACGGCCCCGTCCCAGGTCCCCGCCCCGTCCCAGGTCCCGGCGCCGCCCCAGGTCCCGGCCCCGTCCCAGGTCCCGGCCCCGTCCCAGGTCCCGGCCCCGCCCCAGGTCCCGGCGCCGCCCCAGGTCCCGGCGCCACCCCAGGCTCCGGCCCGCCCCAGGTCCCGGCGCCGCCCCAGGTCCCGGCCCCGTCCCAGGTCCCGGCCCCGTCCCAGGTCCCAGTCTCGTCCCAGGTCCCGGCGCCGCCACAGGTCCCGGCCCTGTCCCAGGTCCCGGTCCTGAGTCCCAGGTCCCGGCGCCGCCCCCAGGTCCCGGCGCTTGCCCCAGGTTCCCGGCGCACCCCAGGTCCCGGCGCCGCCCACAGGTCCCGGCCCTGTCCCAGGTCCCGGCCCCGTCCCAGGTCCCAGTCTCGTCCCAGGTCCCGGCGCCGCCACAGGTCCCGGCCCTGTCCCAGGTCCCGGTCCTGAGTCCCAGGTCCCGGCGCCGCCCCAGATCCCGGCGCCGCCCCAGGTCCCGGTCCCGTCCCAGATCCCGGCCCCGCCCCAGCGCCGCCCCAGGTCCCGGTCCCGTCCCAGGTCCCGGCCCCGTCCCAGGTCCCGGTCCCGTCCCAGGTCCCGGCGCCGCCCCAGGTCCCGGCCCCGTCCCAGGTCCCGGCGCCGCCCCAGGTCCCGGTCCCGTCCCAGGTCCCGGCCCCGTCCCAGGTCCCGGCCCCGCCCCAGCGCCGTCCCAGGTCCCGGTCCTGAGTCCCAGCGTTACGCATGACGCCACAGGCCAGTGGCATTAGGACCGAATCCCCACCCAAGACCTGCGCACAGGCCGCGCCCGGGCTGATTTTTTGCTCCCGCACTAATCCACGAGACATACTGTGGCGCCGCTGAGCAAGTTCACTGGATGGGTCGTGAAACAGGCGAAAACTACCAGCAGCCGTTCACCTGGCGCGGGCGCCGCGTCGGACCGCAGGTCTCCGAGCCGGGGCCGGAGCAGGATCCGCGTTGGACCGGACCAGGTCCCCGCGCCGGGCCCGGACCAGGTCCCGCCCCGCCGCCACACACCACTGACCTGACGCCTCGGTCGTGACCTTGAGCTGGACGTGTTCCTCGCCGCCGGCCTGGGCCGATACGCCGTTGCTGCTGTACACTTGGAACTCGTAGGCGGTGACCGGGCTCAGACCCGACACCGTCACCTTAGTCGTGTTCAGACCCTTCTGAAAACGGGAGCACGGCCGGCCAGGTCAGAGGCCGGGTCACAGGCCGGCGAGCGGTGTGCCCGCCCGGTGGTGATCGGTGCGATTGCAGTGCGTGAGATGGGCCGCAATGAGCCCATAAATCATCCGCGATAATGGTATGCGCTTCAGTCCGATTACGATGCAGCAGACTCGCATTTGCGCTGCGATGCACTGCGTATCGAGAAGGCACAATGGGCCCACGTACCCAGACGAGCTCGTGCACTGATAAGAAAGCACACGGTCCCCTTCACAGAAGCAAAACGCATTGGTGTTGCACAATGTACGACCTCCCGTTCGGATTGTCTTTTAAACCGCGATGGCGGCTTCGACTGAAGTCTGAAGGAGTAAACCAATCGGCTAATTTGACAGGAAAACGGGCTCTGCGGTCCAACTCCGGTCCAACGACGAGGTCACTCGGGGTGCCAGCCGTCTTACAAGGAAACTCCGTCGCATTTACAGCCGCGGTTGTGCACGGGCTCATCAAAGCCAGAAACAAAAAATCGAAAACACATGCCACGGTCTATTTTTGTGTGCTGCTGTTGTCAAAAAGTATTACGTTGCACCTCAGGCGAGCGCTGCACACGCCGCGACATGGCTTTCCTCCATCGTTGCCGCGGCGACGGCCAGACCCCACCAGTCCCTGTTTGGCGCGGTTGACCGTGCCACGGAAGGCGGCGCGGTGACTGGGCCGGCCGGCCGCCGCTGCAGCGCCCGTCAGACCTCCCCCGAGTCGCCGGCCCCCAGCGTGCAGATTCTTTTCGCGTGCGGCCGAGCGAAGGCTGATTGGACGCATCGTTAGACCGCAGTTTTTCTCGCAAGAGGCCACTCGTCGCGGCCGCTGCGTCGCTGAGGCCGGCTTGTTTGGCTTCGGCGGGCGCCGCCGTCGCCACCGGCGGCGCCGCGTCGGCTCCGGCGCGCCCGCCGCGTCGCGTGCGACGGCCGGCGCGGCCGGGCAGCCGCCGATACCGGCGGCGATAGGCGATCGGCCGTCGCCGCGTGACCCCCGGCCGTAATGAGGCCGCACACGGCGGATGCGGCGTCGCGTCGGAGGTCACGCGCGGACGGTCACGTGACGGCGGGTCGCAGCGCGGGCGGCCTCGGCGCCGGGCGGCCAGCTGTCCGCCGCGTCCGCCAGGAGCCCGCTATGATGGAGCTTGCCAGCTCGGCCGTGGCCAAGAAGGCCGTCAAAAAGGTCGCCACTTCTCGGAGGCTACCGGCACGTCGATGCGACGCCCGCGCAGCACCGCGCTCGCGTCCCGTATCCAGGGTCAATGATAGCACGTTTTAGATGAGGTGTTCGGCTGGCGGCCGTTACCACCGACTGGGGGCCCAGGTCACGGCGCAGGCGGTGAGTTGTAACGGCGCGTCGCCGACCCTGCTCACCCGGGCAGGTCAGACTCGGGGAGACCACCCGAGAACGTCACGTACCGACTGGCACACCCACCAACAGTTATTAATTAGTCCTACTCTCCGCAGTAATTTGAAAACGATAGACTTGCTCAAGGTACATTTGTTCGAAGCAATTCGAAACAGCCTGTCCACAGAGAGACGGGCGGACAGGGATCAGCACGGTCGGTAGGCGCCAGGTGTTCCGCTGCCTTCGAACACAGAGGCATGTATACAGACTCCATGGCATTGCTGGGGAAGTAGACAGCAGATTTATCCGATCATGTCCCGCTGCAAAACGTGACTGCCAGGTCATCCGTTTATCGAAGAATTTGTCCCCATTGACCTGCAGATGCACCCAACAAGGCCTGTCAAAGGGCAATGCCAGCAATGACATGCCTTCCAAAATACATCCCAGCCCGTAAACCATGCCTGGTTCATGTAAGGTTTACAGCTGCGCAGGAATAACTCCAGCAAAAAATAGGCAGCCGTCGTTAGTCAGTCCAAGAAGATCTTATCCGTAAAAATGCTATATCGAGTGAGTCTTGGTGAAAGCAGTTAAAATTCCGAGATGATCAGAATCGCTCAAGGCGCAGTCCAACGCTTCTCTCGACGACAAAGTGCGGTATCGCGTACGCCCGTCAATTAACGTGACGCACACTGACGTCCCTTGATAGACACGTCTAAATGACAGCACAACTCGGCTGTCCTCAGCATGCTTATCACCTGCACGGCACGGCACGGCACGGCACGGCACGATCGCAAAGGGATTATCCTGAACGCGAACAAAGCCCGCGTAAGCAGCGCGGCGGTCGACGGCACAAGAACCACTAACAGGGCCTGCACTTAATCGTCAGACCCAGATTACTTCATGGTGGACCCGTGTGGCAACTATCGCCCCGTCATCGATGTCTTAATTGGTAATTATTCTGCTGGCCGGGGCGCGAGATGGGGGAAACACGATAGTGCCGCGCCGCTGGCCCTGGTCGTGACACAGCATGGCCTGCCGTTTCCCGTGCAGAAGGAAGCATGCATCCGAGTGATCAGCAGAAACACAGCCGCCTCACATGTCAACGCCCGTCTTCTCCAGCTGCCGGGGACATGCGGCCGGGTCAAGAGACGGAGGAGGCTCGGGCTGGACGCCGGAGGATGGGCATTGGGGATGGGAGGCCAGATGCAAGAGGTTCGGGCTCGGGTGGCTGTGGTCTGGCAGCGTCGCAATGGTAGAGAGTTCATACGGACAGGTCACAGGACGGAAAGTCACGAGCCTGTTTTCCAGTCAAAATGACTGATCGGTTTACTCAAGTCAGACTGGATTCCAAGCCGCTGCCACGATAGAAAACAACCAAGTCAGGAGTGGGCGGTCCAGCATACTAAGCGTTTCCACCCGAGTCAGACGACTCCAGAGCCCGGCGTCCGGCCAGCGGAGGTGATGTACCTGGGCCGGTGAGGAGGTGACGGGGGAGCACGGTGACATACCTGGGCAGGCGAGGAGGTGACGGAAGAGCAGGGTGACATACCTGGGCCGGTGAGGAGGTGACGGAGGAACAGGGTGACATACCTGGACCGGTGAGGAGGTGACGGAAGAGCAGGGTGACGTACCTGGGCAGGTGAGGAGGTGACGGAAGAGCAGGGTGACGTACCTGGGCCGGTGAGGAGGTGACGGGGGAGCAGGGTGACATACCTGGGCCGGTGAGGAGGTGACGGGGGAGCAGGGTGACGTACCTGGGCCGGTGAGGAAGTGACGGAGGAGCAGGGTGACGTACCTGGGCCGGTGAGGAGGTGACGGAGGAGCAGGGTGACGTACCTGGGCCGGTGAGGAGGTGACGGAGGAGCAGGGTGACGTACCTGTGCCGGTGAGGAGGTGACGGAGGAGCAGGGTGACGTACCTGTGCCGGTGAGGAGGTGACGGAGGAGCAGGGTGACATACCTGGGCCGGTGAGGAGGTGACGGAGGAACAGGGTGACATACCTGGGCCGGTGAGGAGGTGACGGAAGAGCAGGGTGACGTACCTGGGCCGGTGAGGAGGTGACGGAGGAGCACGGTGACATACCTGGGCCGGTGAGGAGGTGACGGAGGAGCAGGGTGACATACCTGGGCCGGTGAGGAGGTGACGGAGGAACAGGGTGACATACCTGGGCCGGTGAGGAGGTGACGGAGGAGCAGGGTGACGTACCTGGGCAGGTGAGTAGGTGACGGAGGAGCCGCACTGCGAACACTGCACGTAGTAGGTGGTGTCGGTGCGGCCACCCTCGTACAGCGGGCGCTGCCAGACCAGCACTGCCGTGCTCTGGTCCACAAACTGCGACGCCAGCCGCTGAGGCGCCGACGGCGGCTCTGCAACACAGCCGGCCGGTCAACGGGGGTCGCGACCGGTCACAGGGGTCACGCCAGGTGAGAACGGTGCGCGGGCCGAAACACACATGCTGGAGTGTGATATCAGTAATGGATCTGTGCTTATTAAATGATGGGAGCTTACGCTCAACCGTACAGATTAACGCCAATTCTATCCATTCCACAAAAACTCGAGGTCGGCTATATCCTGAGCCACCAACATCTTTAGGTTACAGCAACAATCCCTGCTTGCGAGCTCATTTTGCGTACTCGCACAAGAGCAGAGAAAAAATGAAGACACAAAGGCCGCACAACAATGTCAGGGTCGAGAACGAAACTAACGTTACCAGATTTCCCCAGGTATGACATCACCACCACTTCATGTACACACTTTTTCACAACTAGAGTCGGCTGCAGAACGTCTCCCACACCGTGACCCGAGGACACCGCATCTGAGCGGCACCAGGTGCAATGACCCCCCTCCCCGTCATGACGGAGCTTCCGTGTTCATGCAGCCGCGACAGGTCACCCCCGCAGCCGGCAGGCACATTCAGCGAACCGTACATTTTTGCCACAGCATCTCGCCTCGCGGTCGGCCCGGCAGCCGCCCGGAACGGGCTGACATTCCGGCCGGCCGCAATGAGCGCCGGCCGGATCGCCGGCCAGATCGGACCGATCCGACGATTCCGACGATCCGCTGGCGGCCGGCGACCGTCCGTCGCGCGGTCGCGTCCGTCAATGGCCCTCTCAGCGGTCATATTTTGCCATTAATTAACGCCGCGGGATTGGGCGCGCCCGCTCAGTATTCGGCCGGCGCGCGGCGGCCGGGCCGCGCCGCCCGATTTGGCCGCGCGCCGACCACGCCGCCAGTTTCCCATTGTAAATCGTCGATCGGATAGCTGCCATGAACAAGCGCCGCAATGCATTCGGAATGGCGTCGTTCAGCGGCGCCGACGCGGCCGATTTCGGAGCGGGCCCGGCGGCTGCGCTCGGCCGGGCCCGCGTGACCCGGCGCGCAGCTCGAGATCAGCCGGCGGCGCCCCAGGCCCGAGACCAGCCAGTGGAGCCCGGCGCCCGGGACCAGCCGGCGGCGCCCCAGGCCCGAGACCAGCCGGTGGAGTCCCAGGCCCGAGACCAGTCGGTGGCGTCCGAGGACCGAGACCAGCCGGCTGCGCCCGGAGCTCAAGACTAGCCGGCGGCGCTCGGGGTCCGAGACCAGCCGGCGGCACCCGGGGCCCGAGACCAGCCGGTGGAGCCCGGCGCCCGGGACCAGCCGGCGGAGCCCCAGGCCCGAGACCAGCCGGCGGAACCCCAGGCCCGAGACCAGCCGGCGGAGCCCGGCGCCCGGGACCAGCCGGTGGCGCCCCAGGCCCGAGACCAGTCGGTGGCGTCCGAGGACAGAGACCAGTCGGTGACGTCCGAGGACCGAGACCAGCCGGCTGCGCCCGGAGCTCAAGACTAGCCGGCGGCGCTCGGGGTCCGAGACCAGCCGGCGGAACCCGGGGCCCGAGACTAGTCCGTGGCTCGAGACCAGCCGGCGGAACCCGGGGCCCGAGACTAGTCCGTGGCTCGAGACCAGCCGGCGGTGCCCGGAGCCCGAGACTAGTCCGTAGCTAGAGACCAGCCGGCGGAACCCGGGGCCCGAGACAAGTCCGTGGCTCGAGACCAGCCGGCGGTGCCCGGAGCCCGAGACTAGTCCGTGGCTAGAGACCAGCCGGCGGAACCCGGGGCCCGAGACTAGTCCGTGGCTCGAGACCAGCCGGCGGTGCCCGGAGCCCGAGACTAGTCCGTAGCTAGAGACCAGCCGGCGGTGCCCGGGGCCCGAGACAAGTCCGTGGCCCGAGACCAGCCACGGCTCATGACGCAGCGATTAGGTGCGGCGAGCGTGATCCCTCGGCACGCGCTCCGGCCGAGCCTGCACACAGGCTGCCGCCACCTCGTGCCTGGCGATCGGCTGCATGACAACTGGCTTTCGGCGGCCAGGAATCGCAGCTGATGATTCCCATGAACAGCGGATGCAGCAACTCAGTAAACGCCCGACACCATGACCGAAAAACCATCGCTAAATCAAATGCGATAAACCTAAGTAACAAAACCAGGATGCACAAAAATGTTGTTTTTTTTGCCCACATGGTGCACCGGTACCACTCGGCAACAAGAGTCGGGTCGGAGGCCCAGCTGGTGCAGCAGGAACGCCAACACGGCGGTGCAAGCCGTCCTTATCTACGGTTAAATGGGATGCTCCACACTTGGCGGATAGTGAAACCAGTACCAGCCATGATGAAATAAGGTTTCTTATAACTAACGGTTTACTTTTAGTTGGAAAATACTGCTCTAGACAGCAACATTTCTCTATTCAGCAAACACGCTCATCAATGTGTCATTCATCACGGGAGCATACTTTGCTCAACATTAATTGAGAGCCAATTGACGGCCGTTATATCTGGAAGTCGTGCTCACGAACTCTGGATATTAACGACTCAACTATTGTAGTATTATTAGCTTTGATCGCCGCATGGCCAATGGAATGGCAGGATTGGAATAACGTCATTATGGCGTCATGGATGTCGGTGTGACCTTGAAATGGTCTCCAAGAAATAGTCGGCACACCTTCGCGGGCGTGTAGCTAAAAACTTAGGGAGGTTCAGGTCATAGGGACAGGGCTGTAAGCCACACCGAACGATCTTCAATATGGCTAGTTCAGCTCAAACTTCATACCAATGTGGAACACTCCACTTAAGCACGATAATAAAATAATACAAAAATGCATGATAATAATTGTAATAATAGCACGCGTTCCTTGCGCTACTTAAGCCGCACGTCGCGAAGCACGTCGCACCTCGCAACACGCCCACAGCCCTGGTGACACCGCTGTGTTTCCAGCCAGCACTTAAACACTACTCACAGCCACAGCCCAGCGCGCTCACGGGTGTCACATACACCCGTCTTGACACCCGCCACCCTTCAACGGCCATACGTCCCCTGGCGCCGAGTCGCCGACCGGTCCAGCCCGCCCTCCGGTGGCGTCTCCCTGGCCCGGAAGGGACTGTACTCACGTGTGCAGGGCGCGTCGAGAGGGTCCTGCGGCGCCCGGTGGTAGCCCGACTCGCAGCGGCACTCGGCAGAGGCCGTGTACGGCGCGCGGCTGTGGTCTGGACACGCTCGGCACGAGCTGTTACCCACCGTGTGCTTGAATCGCGACGGAGGACACACTGCGAACGGACAGAGCAGAGGCGTGAGCTTGGTGCTGACGACCTGGACTTACCGGCCGCAACGACAGCGCCGTTGTGTAGTGCCCATAACCGGTGTTTTACACGGAAAAGGAAACGACAACGCGGTTGTTTCTTGTCATGCTCAGATAAACCTCTGACAGGGCGATGGGACAGACAAAACATAGCAGCCGTCAGAGTGAAGCGGACCAAAAAGGCGTGAACGTGCTGGAAGGGACGCCGCCGCGCTGCAGACAAGGCAGAGCGACGCTGCAGGTGACGCACACTCAGAACACGGCGACAGAACACGGCGAGACGGCTGACCCGTCACGGGTGTAATGATCAGTAGGCGCGTCAGACGATGTAAAACTCGGCAATTTTACACTAAACACCAGCTGTAATCCGCTGACGAGCCGGTCTCCGTGAGACCGGCTCGTCAGCGGGCGGCTGCAGGCGGGCGGAAGAGCTCGTCGCATGGCGGTGCGACACCCCTAATCCACATGTGCAATGCGGACCGACCACCGGGTGCCGGGATGAGCAGGGGGCGAGGGCCACCGGCTGGTGATGAGGAGGGGGCGAGGACCACCGGGTGGTGATGAGGGGAAGGCGAGGGGCCACCGGGTGGTGACGAGGAGAAGGCGAGGGCCACCGGGTGGTGATGAGGAGGAGGGCGAGGGTCACCGGGTGATGATGAGGAGGGGGCGAGGGCCACCGGGTGGTGATGAGGAGGGGTCGAGGGCCACCGGGTGGTGATGAGGAGGGGTCGAGGGCCACCGGGTGGTGATGAGGAGGGGGGGTGAGGGCCACCGGGTGGTGATGAGCAGGGGGCGAGGGCCACCGGGTGGTGATGAGCAGGGGGCGAGGGCCACCGGGTGGTGATGAGCAGGGGGCGAGGGCCACCGGGTGGTGATGAGGAGGGGGGCGAGGGCCACCGGGTGGTGATGAGCAGGGGGCGAGGGCCACCGGGTGGTGATGAGCAGGGGGCGAGGGCCACCGGGTGGTGATGAGCAGGGGGCGAGGGCCACCGGGTGGTGATGAGCAGGGGGCGAGGGCCACCGGGTGCCGGGAGGAGGAGGGGGCGAGGACATCGACCGCGGCGGCGTCCCGGCCGAGGAAGAGTGCAGAGGCTGTGACCATGGCTGGTTACGGCCCCCGCGGGGACCTGTCTGGACGACCGGTCAGGGCTCGTTACAGACCACACGCCGCGAACGCGCTGACACTTATGTGACCGCAGGGGGCGTCCCGTGAGAGCGGGATTAGTGAAGTTGGAATATTTCAGAGACGAGACCCTTTCCTACTCCATGGATCAGACAGGTCACCCGGGCACTGAAGCGAGGATGTCTATCCGCGCACTTCGGCCATCACATAACCTGCATCCAGCCTAACCCACCCCGTTAAATACACAGGACACTCCTCAAACCAAATCAGAACTCGAAACGTCACGCGTTCAGCCCTCGGTATCCTGAGCTCTCCCGCTGCGCAGCCGGCCGACGGCGGTCGACGATCATCAGCGGCCGTGTCCGTCTGTTGCCGGCCGGCCGGCTCGCCCAGCAGCGACAGCAGACGCGCCAGGAATCTGGCCGGGCCGGGCCGGGCCGGGCCGTGCACCCGGCCCCGCGCCCGCCGCCGCCCCTCCAGCCTGACAAATGGCTTATTATACGGCGCCGGACGCCGGGCTGCCGCTGACGGCCAGACGATCCGAATCGACAGCCGACAGATAGACGTACTCTGCCCACTGGCCAGCCGGCACCGAAACCAAGCCAGCGATGCATGTTGCATGAAGTCGCCGCGCAAGCGACGCGCCTGCCCCCGATGTTAAGGACTTGGCCGTCGCGAGCTGTTCCCGCCGAGCCTTGCCCCGCCGTCGCCTACACTCTGCAGGCCCGCTCTCCTGTCACGGTCAGCGCCGCGGCTGGGGCGGGGCGCCGTCGCGTCCACTGGGGTCGTCGGGCGCGGCTGGCGGCGCCAGACAGCGCGGCGGTGGACTAAGCCGCGACGGCACGCGTGCCCGGCGGCCGACACCGACGGCTTTACTACCGCCCCCTGCCGACCGGGCTCCCGGCTCATGAGGAGGCGGCCGGCCGGCGTGCCCCGCGCCCCGGCCGCCGCCGCCGCCGCCGCGATCGTAAAGCCGCGGCGCAAGGGGCGGCTGCTGGCGGGCCACCGCTGCGTTTATTCGCGCCGGCCGGCACAGGCATCGACACCAAACAATGCGCACGCCTAAATCATGTGCCGCCTGCCGGCCCCGGCCCGGGTTGAGAATAGCGACAGAGGGGCGACGCCGGCCAGGCGGCGGGTCGGAGAGTGAGGGAGGGGGAGGGGAGGGGGGGGGGGGGGGCGCGACCGGCCGGCCGGCGCGACGGCGTCTCCGCCCCGTAGTCTGGGGACGCGCGGAGGTCGGCCGATGTTGCTGCCCGGGCGGTCCCTTGTGCCGGGAGGTGCCCTCCCCCGGGCCGCCCCTCTGCCGGCTGCAGCGAGCCGGCGGGCCGGATCCCACGCGAGAGCAGCGGAGCAAAGCCTCGCGGAACAGGATGCGACTGGACACTGCCGGCACACTGCAATCGGCTTAGGATTTGTGCGCGATTTTACCGGCTGAGCACTGTGTCGGCGGCACGTTTGCGGCTAATGAAGTGCAATACAATAACAACGCAGTCGGCTTGCGGACAGCGATGGCTAGCCTGGACTGGAATGGGGTGAAGTTAGCTTCTTTGACAGAAATGTAAAACTCCGAAAGGACGGCAGGATTTAAATCAAAGATCTCATGCCCAGAATGTTATATTTGACCAATAAACGTCAACTCGGAGGAAACGTCATTCCAAAATACAAGAGGGTAGTCAGAGAATATGACTAAGCACTGTCGGAAGTTAGCAAGATTTATGTGAGATTGAAAATTAAACCGGGGATGGCGCAATTTTCGGAGGCGCCGCCGTAGAGAAATTATGGCGGCCTGCCAGCAAGAGCCCAGCGCAACCGTGCGCTATTCTTGCACGCCGAACTACAACGGCAAGCCGCTGTTATTACAAATCAATAATGAAAGTTGAGCCGAGACCCGGCGGTTTCGCCCACAAATCGAGCCTGCCGAGCCGTTGTTGGACCGCAACAGCTTTTAAACCGGGGCGGTCTGTTAGCGAACTGGAGGCCCCATTACGCCAAACACCAACACGACCAGCACCTAGCTCTGCACTCAAGCTCTGGCTGCTCGAGAGGTGGCGCCTGCGCCGCCGTCGCCTCCACGAAAAACAATCACCAACACGCATCAGCTGTGCCCTACAGTGACCTGCGTAAACTGCCTGAGTGTGGCGCGCGGCGCCGGCTGACACGTCACGCCGTGCGGACACGTCACACCGGCGTGACAGCGGCACGCGGACAAAACCGGCGGCCCGGCCGGTGACGGGCGGCTCCGGTGACGGCGTGTCACAGCGGCGAGCCGGCGGCGCGCGCTGGGTAACGGTCGGCGCCCGCCGCACTGCAGGGGCTTCAGCCGCCGCCTGCAGCCATGGCCGACAGAGCCGCCCACTGCGGCGGCACCCGCACCGATCACGTGGCGACGAGAAAACGGCTCGGCACAGCAGTCTCGTGCCAATATATTCGTGCGTTGCGTAATGTAGATCATGTGCGTACTAGGGGTGGAATATGAAACACATGTGGATGAACATACATGCGAATCCCATGCGGACGTGAGCAAGGACGTGAATGCCGGCGTGAAAACACACGCGGACCCGACCACACCAAAAGCGTGGACATCAGCGTAGACGAGGATCCCGCGCGCCGCGCGCCGCGAGACGGCCCGCCGGCCGGCCGTCCAGGCGGCGCGGCAGGGCGGAGCACCACGGCTAATCCTGCCGTCGATCCAGACCGATGGTCGACGCTCGCGCGCCATTCCCGCTGACTGAGCAGCGGCGACCCGGCGCGAGGGCGAGCGGGCCGGCGACCCACCCTCCAGCAGCAGCGGCAGGCCGGCAGGCCGCCAACGCGTCAGCAGATCGACAGTCCGGGCTCTGCAGGTGGTACGGTGCGAGCGACGCCCTCTCATGAAGCGCTCGTCCGGTTGCGAGCGAGTGCGCTGCATTCGACGTCGCCGCCAGACGCCACTGCCCTACGGTGGCTGACCGTTTTTTGGGGGGCGAACGGAGGCCTTTCTGGCCTCGCTGAGCGGCGTTCTCCAGGGCCGCTGCCCAGCCCGCTCTGTGGCTAAATTGGGACCCTCTCGAGCCACGCACACCCCCATCCCCTCCTCTGACTTCTTCTCTAGCCGCTCTGCCTCTCTCTCTCTCTCTCTCTCTCTTTGCTTGCTCTGCCTTCCTTTCCGACCGTTTCTGCCTCCAATTTCGTTCGCTCTGCCTCACTCTCCGACCGCTCTGCCTCCCTCTTCGTTCATTCCGCCTCCCTCTTCGTTCGTCCTGCCCCCCCCCCCCGCCCCCCGTTTGCAGCCGCTCTACCTCCCTCTCCGGTCGCTCTGTCTTGCTCTCCGATCTCTGCAGCGCCTGCCGGCGCCTCCAAGCCGGGGGCCGGGACGCCTCCACCCACCTCCGCTCTCGTCGCATTCCAGCCGGCCGGGGCGGCAGCCGGCAGACGCCAACGCGCCACAGTCCGCTCGCTCGGGGCACGGACAGTGCAGCCGTAACCAGGCCGGGCCGGTAGCTCGGACGGCATTCTACCGACTGCAGCCGTCGCCATAAAAATGATGATTTGTCTGGAATGCATTGGGCTGTTTCGATGGACGCGAACGCTGCGTAGGGATTGGCATATACCACTCCGGGTGTGCCCATAGCCCTGCATGCTGGTGACCTGAGATATCATTTCCTGGCGTCGTCCTTTTCAGCAACCGCATGGGAACGATACCAATTAGCTTGGACTGGAGATACCAAGATAAACGGCGAACGAAAAAGTGCCGCCAGTGACGCGTTTGTCTACATTCTGAGAAAGACATTTTGCAAAGTAGCACGCATTTCTCCAATAGCGCAGAATCCAGCTTCGACCAAACACATTGTTTTTAAACATGG